CTGGGCGTACCAGTTCCTCATCTTTAGCAGCAGCACACGTGTGGAGCACAGAGTAGGTGGTCAGTGGAGGTGGCCCTAGACTGACCGCTCCAGCCCTGCCCTGGACAAGACAGTCACTTAGCTTCTACTAACAGATGCCGGGCACTTAGAAGCAAGGACTGAAGACAGCAGGGCAAGTGGAAGCCGTGGTTTAATTGAGATCACACAGGGTCATACAGATCTGCTCAGCTTCCTCCCCACCAGGGCGAACAGCCCTTCGTTGTCAGCCGTGGTGGGAGAGTAACGCTGAGAGATCACCTCGAACTGCTCGATGGAGTAGCCAGCGTCTCTCACGGCAGCCTCCACTGCCTCCCGGCCCAGGCACAGGCTGGAGAACCTCTGCTCGCCGATCGTGTAGTAGCTACTCTTCAGCGCGTCCACGATCACCAGGAAGCCCCCCGGCTTCAGCAGGCTGCCGAGGTTCTGGAGGGCGTTGCGGTAGGTGGGGAGGTCAGCGCAGGCGGCATCCAGGCACAGCGCACTGAGCAGGCAGTCCGCGGGGGGCAGGCACACGGCGCCCAGCGGCTGGCTCTGCGTCACGTCGCATTTCAGAACCCGCTTGATCGCCTGTCTCAGTTTCTCCTCCTTCTCCGGTCCCTTGACTCTGAAAAACACAAACCCACAGACACTACTTGCTACCCCAGTCAGGTGAAGCCCTCACGCCCCAGATCTCTTTGGTCAAGGGTGAAAAGAGCAGTGTTGTTGGGACCAGCCGGTGGCATACTGGTTAAGGTGCTGGCTTCCCACATGGTTGACCAGGTTCGAGTCCTGGATCCGGCAGCCTCAAAATTACAACAATATGGACCAGCAGATGGTATAATGGTTAGGTCGCTGGACTCCCACATAGTCAACTGGGGTTCAAGTCCTGGACCTGGAGGCTTAAACTCATGCTGGGGGTGTTTGTGTATGCCCAAAATCCTAAGAGGAGAATGGAGAAGGGATTGCAGTGTAGCCATCCCCCTGGGGGCTGATTTTTCGCTTTCTGTCTCTCTGTTGAGTGCACGCACCCTATGGCAAAAACTCCTCTAAAAAACAATCACAACAAACAGATAAATAAATTAATTAAAAAGAAAAAAAGAAAGTGATAGCCCTGTCCCCGCTGTGTAGGGCCATCTCTATTGGAAAAGCAGAGGGAGAAGAAATAAGGGACTCTTGGTTTCTGAGGGTGGCCATATTACCCCGGGCTGGGCTACGTCTCCTTATAGCGTGAAGAGTCAAATGTTAAGAGTACCTCGCTACCTCCTTCCACTGACTGCCCCTTACTCCCAGGACACTTCTTCCTCCACTGCTTTGTTATTATTTTAAAAGCCTATTTATTTCATGAATGTGAGAGATACAGTGAGAGAGAGACAAACACTCTCAACAGGGTCCCCCAATACTGTGCCCATCAGCCCCCCCACCTCGATAAGCCACATCACGGGAGTCCACACCTAGTGCACAGGGCAGCCAAGAACCAGACCTGGGGTCGTCCATACGGATCTCGCATCACTTGAGCAGCGTGTCAAAAGCGGGCCTATTATTATTATTATTTACTTATCTTCTTCTTATGACTTTCCCTCCTCCAAATTGCAAGGTAATAGCTCCTTGTCTCATGCATAGCAAGTAACAGTGGGCTTAAACACTCTCCTTGTAATCGTTGCTGGCCAGTAAGGAAATGGGGTCACCCATGGACATTTATACCAACAGTTGATCACTATCCACTATGGGCGGAACCCCTCTAGAGAGGAGAAAACTGCTTATTCTCATTTCCCAGCTTAAAAAAAAGTGCAGGTAGAGTGTGTGTTTCTGACAGAGATTATTTTCTTGGTATCTTTGCCAAAAATCCTATCTTCCCTGCCAAATCAATGGTGTTTCTTGAGAGAAAATCAATTAATGAAAGGAGAAGAGAAGACAAGGGCAGAGGTGGAATAGAGTAACCTTGAATCCTGTTTGAATCTATTCGGGCAGGAATGAAGAAACACACTAACAAATGATCGACATTACAAACACATAGAGAGGGGCCAGCAGGTGATGTAGTGGTTAAGACACTGGACTCCCACATGGTCGACCATGGCTTGAGTCCCAGACCCGGCAGCTTGAAACTCATGCTGGGTGCATGTGCATGCATGCTCAAAATCCCAAGAGGAGAACAGAGGGGAAGGGATTGAGGCATGGCCATCCTCTATGGGGGATGATTTCTCGCTTTCTGTCTCTCTGTCTCTCCAGTGAGCTCACGTGCCCCGTAGCAAAAATCTCTCCTAAAAGAAAATACATACACAGAGCACAAGAGAAGCTGGACCAAGGAGGACAGACAAAGAGAAAGAAGTAGCTGACAACCAGAGCAACGAAGGCACGGGAAGAAACAGTGAGAGAGCAGACGGGCCAGCCCGCCGAGCCCTAACAGTAGGTGTGAGCACTGGATAGTACCCCTTTCTAGGAAATTACTGAATAAAGCTCCGGGGAGCAAATGCAAATGCTTAGGAAGGTTTCAGGAACTTTCTACCAGCCACTAAATGGGTGAGTATATACACATATATTTATGTACGTATGGAATAAAAGTGATCTTTGGTTGGATCTATGCCCCCTCCTCAAGGATAGAAATGGTAGCAGGGTGTCTACCTTGTCTTGATTTGTCTTGGACTTTTCTGGTTTTAGCACTGAAAAATCCACCTCCTGGGTACCTATTGCAGTCCTAGGCAAGTCAGGCCAGCTAGTCATCCTAGAGGCAGGGAAACTAATACAAAGCTGCCACCCCGCCTTCATACACCATGAGTCAATTGACAGAATTTTTTTTCTTTAGTTTGCTATAGGGCATATGTGCTCGCTGGAGAGAGACAGAGAGAGAGAGAGGAGAGAGAGAAAGTGAGAAATCACCCCTGAGAATGATGACCACACCACAATCCCCTTCCCCCTTTCGACTTTGGGCATGCATGCACATGTGCCCGGTATGATTTTCAAGCTGTCATGTCCATGACTCAAACCACACAGTTGACAATGTGGGATCTAGCCACCTTAACCTCCATGCCACCTGCCCATCCCAGACAGAACATTAAAAAAAAAATCTTTGTTTAAATTATAATCACAATTTTAATTGACATATAATAGTTGTACATATTTGTGGGGTACGATGCAGCTTTTCAGTATAATATTTTAAGAATAAAATTGTGGCAGTGGACTCTCACGTGGCCGACCATGGTTCGAGTCCTGACCTGGCAGCTTACGTTCTCACTTTCTCTCTCTCTTTCTCTCTCTGTTGAGTGCATGTGCCCTATAGCAAAAAAAGAAAAAGGAAAAAGGAAAAAAGGTAATAATAATAAGAAGCACATTTAAAATACTACTACTAATAATAATGTAACACTATGGACGGAAGTCTTGGAGAAACAGACTTGAACAGGAACGTTAATCGAGAACAGAGCCTGTCTGCTCAGATGGATAACTCCAGTGTATGTGAAGAGCCAAGGAAGTGACAATACAGGGCCAGGCAGTGGCTTGCAGTAACATGACTGGATCCACCTGGGAAAGGCACTGGGTGGACACCTCAGGACCTTCCTGAACACAATCCATGATCCGGGGGGCTGAAACTGAGACTTTCATGGCAGACCATGGCATGAGGACGCTGCTCGGGTGCCAGTCAGTCCCTCTGTGTGCTGGATGAAATAAATAACTAAGCTTAAAAAAAATGAAAAAGAGAGAGCGGTGATGAAATGTTTAAAGGTGATGTTCTACCTGGGGACATTGTGAGACTGTGTATTTAAGGGATTACGTCAGAGGCAGAACGGACCTCTGTGTCCTACTGCGTATTAAGCTATTTTAAAGACGCAAGTTTCAACAGAACTAGTCCTTGCCAGTCAGATGACGACAGAAATGATCCCCAAACTGCGAGACACACTGTGAGGTCTGGAAAGCTCCCAGAGAATGTGGCAATTTGAGAGGGAAATTTGTTAGAAACACCCACTGTCGTCAATACCTGCCTGTCCTTGGACGCACAGCAAACATCCGTGAACTCAGTTGCCAAGGCAGCTGTGTAAAGATTACACCTCAGGGCTTCTCGGGGCCTGCAAGTACACCCGCAGGGAAACAGGCTGCCTGGGGAAGCCGGCAATTGCCACTCCGACTCACGTTTCGGCTCAAGGGGCGAGTAATAAGCATACCCCTGAAAAGCATTGTTGCTGTTTTTCAAAAAGCAACAGCACTGTGGCTGTTCTCCAGGTCTAAAGATCTACTCTTTCAAATAAATCAATATGCAAAAAGTGGCAGCTATTTCCTCTGTAAATATGCCATCTACAAAAACCAAGGGAAGTGGAGAGGGAGGGAAGGAAGGAAAGAATAAAGAGAACCCCTGGGAAGAAGACTTGGTGAGAATGCCTCCCCTACCCCCGATAATCACCCCGAGATTTAGAGGAAGTTCCTCCTGCCCAGTCTTGCAAAGCAGGTGGTGGATCAAAACATTCTGGACAAGCTTTTTGCAATTACACTTTCCTCCCCCAAGCCCCATCTCCAGAGGCTCCTGCGGGCCCTTCTGAGAGAGAACCCTTGAAACATGTCAAAGAAATAAAGGCTGAGTAGGCCCGGAAGTGAGAGCAGGGCATAATCACTGGTAAGACTCTGGTGCAGACCACACCTGAGTCAGGTGAAGGACATTCTAGGGGGAAGGGTCTGGAAAGCAAAATGCATGCATTAATTTATTCTTTTCTTTTCTTTCTTTCTTTTTTTTTTTTTTTGGAGAGGTTTTTGCCATAGGGCACGTGCACTCGCCAGACAGACAGAGACAGAGAGATAGAAAGCAAGAAATCACCCCCCAGGGGGGATGACCACACCGCAATCCCTTCTCCTCCATTCTCCTCTCAGGATCTTGGGCACGCACGCACACGCGCCTGGCATGAGTTTTAAGCCACCGGGTCCAGGACACGAACCGTGGTCGACTACGTGGGAGTCCAGCGACATAGCCATTACGCTAACTGCTGGTCCCTGAATTAATTTATTCTAAAAACACGTCTGAACTTCTGTTACGTGACAGGAGGTGTGCTAGGGACACCAGGGTGCACAAATGAGAAGAGGATCCTATGCTCATAGAGAAGATTAGCCTGGTCAGGGTAGGGGGAGAAAAAATAAGCTAATTACCACCCACAAAAATAGAAATGAAAACAATACATGCAAGGAAGGAAGGGACACGGCACTCTCGGAGGACTGTTGGGAGCTTGACTCGATCAAGAGTATCAGGAAACGCTCCTGCAAAATGCAGCCAGGTAAGCAGAGAAATGGAAGGCGCATGTGTAGGAGGTAACCAGGCCAAAGAGAATAGGGGGGGGTGAGGAAACAGGGAGCACAAAGGCCATAGGCTCGGAGGACTATGGAGAGGAGAATGCCAACATGGCTGCATTGCCAGGCAGGAGAGACAGGTGCCAGACTAGAGAGGGCTTTATGGCCCATGTTAGGAATCCTGTTTTTTCTCCTAAAAGCCATGGAAAGTTACTACCAGATGTTAAGAAAAGAAGTAAGGTGATCAGATTTACAGTTTGAGATGGTGACTTGGATGGCAGAACGGAGAACACTCAAATGGAGGAAGAACGTGGAGGTGACAGCCCATTGGGAGGGAGAGAATGGAAGGCTGGCCCTAGGATGCTG